ACCTACATCCCAACCATAAGCTAACTGCCTCGTCACCGCCCGCCATCCATGACTTGCCCTGCATTGGAGCTGATGATCGAGCCCAAAAAGATTCTGAGCCATCGGATTCGACACCCCATGGTGTCAGGAGAATGAACGAGGAATGAAATAACTAAGAGCAGGATGGGTACAAGTGCTAACCCTAATTGGGTTGTACCCCATATGGGCTACCCCACTACAGCCTACACAATGAGCAACATATAAGTTTGACACATCCCCATAGGCAAAGTTGGGGAGAACAAGAGGTCATAAGACCGGTCAAGAAAAGCAAAGCAAGGTCAGGGTGGATCACAAAGTCACCACGAAGTCTGAGCACAAGCAAATGTCCACAAGGCCAGTTCACATGCAGAGTTATATATATAGGAGAGCAAGCAGTACAGTGATCACAACCTAGCAAGTGTAAGCATGCAGGTATATGTACATGGATCACAGAACAGGCAAAGTCAAGAAGAAAGCAAGTGAGGCAAAGTAGGCACAAGGCCTAGAACAGTACAGAAACGCTGATGATCACAAGGCTGAAGTGCCTTGGTGAAGTTATCAGCAGTGTTGGCCTGAGAGGCCACGTAAACAAGACGAAGCTGACCACGCTACTGCAATTCTTGAGCAAGGAAGTAGCGCAGAGCGATGTGCTTTGTTCTATGCTCTATTCTGTGCTCCTGACACAAGGCAATCATGACCTTGTTGTCGACGTACAGAACTGGAGGAGAACGGGGCAACTCTCCCGATTCGGTCAGCAGGTAGGTGAGCCAGCGTAACTCTTGTGCAGCCATGGCCCCTGCGTAGATCTCAGCCTCACAACTGGAGCTTAGAACAGAAGACGAGAGGATAGATCGTCACGAAACAAAACCGGAGCCACTGCTGAAGTTGTAACCCGGTGACGACCGCTGTGTAGCCAAGTCGTCAACCCAAGAAGCGTCTGCGTGACCAGTGAGGACAACTCGAGCCCGTCCTCCAAGCAGGAGCCCCATGCCCGACGTACTGCACAACTAGCGCATCACCCTCTTAGCGGCCTTCCAGTGCTCTGGTCAGTGTCTCCGAGCGCAACGTAGCGTGCCAGGATGCTAAGAGGGTACATGAGGCAGCCCACAAGCTATGGATACATGCCACTTGGCTCTACGGACTCATCCGGAGGCAGAGCTGAGAGCGAGTGACCGGTAGGCAGAGGAGTGGACTGTGGCGAGGAGTACTGGAAGTCGAAGCGCTAAAGGACCTGCTGCACCATGTGAGAGTGAGTTAAGGTAATGGTGCGCTGTGCTCTGTCCCGGGTGATCTGCAAGCCAAGATAGCTACGCAGCTCACCCAGGTCTGTGCACATGTGTCTCTTCTGCAGCTCCGACTTCACGTAGGCGAGTCCAGCAGTATCAGCAGTGGCAAAGACCAAGTCGTCGACGTACACGAGGATGTAGAATCGCGGCAACGAAGTGTCGGTGCGTAGAAACAGCGACGGATCAGCAGTCGAAGGAGCAAACCCAAGAGCCGCAAGCGTGGTCCTCAGTGTGTCGTGCCACTCTCGAGGCGCCTGGCGGAGACTGTAGACTGGCCGCCAGAGGCTCCACTGGGTACCTGCAGGAAACGACCCAGTGAAGCCAGGTGGGCGGCGCAGCCGGATCTCCTTGCGCAGGGTGCCCCGTAGGAAAGCAGTGCTGAAGTCAAGAGAGTGAAGCTCGTAGTCACGCTGAGTGGCGACGTGCAGCATCACCCGAAGAGTGGTCATCTTCAAGGTAGGGTAGAAGTTATGGAAGAAGTCAACTCCTTGTCGCTGACTGAAGCCTCTTGCAACGTAACGCGCCTTAAAGACAGGCGGAGAACCCGGCGGCCGCTTCACCCTGAAAATCCACATGCCACTGACGATGTTCGCCCCAGGTGAAGAAAACTCATCGACGTAAGTGCCTGTGGACTTCCAGGATGCCATCTCTTATTCTAATTCTGGACAGTGTCTCAGCGGCGTGAGTGGGCGCGCACATTGACAATGTTGTGACTCGAATTGCATTTGAGCACTTGCATCTGGAACTGGTGTTAGACCATGTGCTACCAGGTAACCACCACCATGCGATGTGACGTGTGAAAGCTGCACATCGTGAGGACGAGGGGGTGTCTGTACCGGGCTGTGGCAATGTACAGGTGGCATGTGAATTTTGCATTTGTTATGTTTGGCGCACCTTGAAACCGCTTACGTGTCGAACCTGGGTGCGCGAATGGGGAAACCTCTGTCAGACGATTTCGTACACACACTTCGTCCTTGTTGCATCAAGCCTTGAAATAGAGCAACACTGGGCGTGCTATGCTTGTTTTGTGGGCTGAATACATTGTTGGTTGTATCGAAGCAACTAGGGCAGATGTTCCAAGGGGTCTGTACCGTGGGTGCACCATCAGGGCAAAAAACCCACGGGTGCAGGGTTTCCAATTTGTGCAGGGCAATTTCGCGTGCAGGGGGTGAGCATCATGGCGCTGTTCTGCAGGCGCTGATGCTTCCGCATGAAATGTACGGGCAAGTCCTTCCAAGTAGCTTCTCACCGCATCCAAATTCCGCATTTCTCAATTTGCTGGACTGATGTTGCCACGAAGTCTCGCCAAATTTCTCAACCCCTCAAATTGCTGCCCCGCACAACTTATGCGCTGGCTGATTCTTGCTTTCGAGGGTGAATTGGGAGCGCACAAGTTGTGCGGACATTGGCCTGGCTGTGAGAGTACGACGGCTTATGCCAGCTATGTTTGCTTGCCTTTGCTTTATTATGCTATTTCTAGCGTAGGATAATTATATGCATGCATGAATTGCTTGATTTCCTAAGCTAGGTGCTTTCCTATATTTTATTATAGTTATAGCACCGAGCTAGGTTGCGTGCACCGAATTCTGGCTTTTCGGTTGCCACCGAATTGCCTTCTACCGAATTCGGTAAGGATCTGTTCGGGACGCTTCGCGACCCGCGGAACCTTCGCGTAACACCTGGTTACGGGGCCTTGTGTCGAGCCTATATATAGCCTCGTGTTGTACCCAGGTGATCATTCAATTCACATTCTCTTTTCTGAGCCCGATCCTAGATCCTGACACTGGCGATGCTACATTCTGGAACCTTCACCCCGTTAAGTTCGTGCGCCCCATAAGTGATGTTCTGCAGGCAGCAGCGTCAAATTTGGCGCAAACAGGTTTGGCGGGACCTTTGTATCACCAAACCTTGATAGGCAGAAGCTTACTTGTCAACAAAAATTTCGCGGACCCAGTTTTTAGAAATTTAACGCCTACACATGATGCCCAACCACTGCGCGCGAATTTGCCTTGCCCATTTCATAAACTCTGCACCCGTGTTTTTTTTCCAGTCAGTTGCACCCATGTTATAGGCACGTGGATCAACTTCCATTTGGGCGAGAAAACGCCAAAGTACGAATCTTAGGCGCAAAACAAACTATGCTGACCCGTTTTGTTCTTGTTTCTTGGCGAGAAACAAGCATAAACCCTAAACCCTAAACCAACAACAACACAGGCCCACCGTAACTGTTTTGGAAAAAACAAATGGATTAAAACATGTGTTTTTTAGAAGCACCTCAACACCCTGGCGAAATGGAACAAACTGGGCGAAATGCCCAAAACGTTTATAAGCCTAGAGCGCATCCCAAGTTGGGGGGACTCAAACGGACATCAGGTGTACAGAACAGCGCCCATGTGTACGCGGTTCTGACAGTTGCGGCTTGGACTGTTTCTACAGCTGTCACTACTGTAACCCAAATCAAGTTGCATCTGGAAGGTAGTGACCCCAGGTTCGGAAACCCTAGGCCGACTCGGCTATACTTTGGTGGGGCTGTACACCCGGTTATTCGTTTATCTCACCAAGCGCGTTTCGGTCGGAGGTGCTTGTCCGTTTCGCCCGGTGCTTTTAACGTCTGCGAGTCACATTTCCCTGCGTATTGCCGTCCCTTGCTCCCAAAATGTGGCTATAAATACGTTTTTGCAACTGTAGGCCGGCCTGACCTAATCATGACTAATAAGTTTGGCCTCGTCTTTAGCGCGAATGCGTGAACTGTAGTGTTCTGCCACCAATTTTCTTCGACGTTTAGCAATTCAATGCTGAACTGATTACGCGTGTGAATCGATTCTATATCACATTAACGAATCGCTCCCAACCTTCTATGTGAACGTACTGAGCTTCATTCAGGATATCTATATCGATAAGCATTCGCGTGTGCTTGTGCTCTGCGGCAGCTAAATCTCCCCTTGAGAGTTCATAATCAGCTGCGGTAGGAAGCATGCAAATTGCTTCTGTCACGCGGCTCGACTTGAAGCATCCGACGAATGGGCCTGCGTATGTAGCTCCCCGGAGATCCATGGCGATTGATTATTGTCGTCGGTGGAATCCGACGATCTCTACCGTCAGATCCCCTTCATCAACGGCCCCCGTGCGGTTGCGCGTATCCGCACGGATCCAGGTCGACCGCCGGAAGCACCTCGAGGAGCTCTTTCGCCGTCAGCTGGTGAGTGGTGCCACGTGGCGCCACTGATTGCTTGTTCCTTCCATTATCCTACCGGACGCCGAACCTTAAGGTGTTTCAGGGAGCCTTGAAACACGCACGTCTATCGCTTATCGCTGATCACGACCGGTTTTGAGGCGCCTCAAAACTCGCTTATCAACCAACAAGCGTCCTTTCTGGGCCACTCTAAGAGACGCCTATTTTTTTTTGCTGATTACCCACAAGTGGGCCACCTAGACTCCGCGTGCAGGCGGTACACGCATCTGGGTCCCTCTTGAGTGTCCCGCTCCGTCTCGATAAAAATTGTGCAAGCGGTCGGCGTGTTCCTTCCACGCTGTTTAACGCCGTTCTCCAGTCTTACTCCATACGTCTTTAATATTCTCGCTCAGCTCTCTCTTCCCCCAACCTCCCTCACACACATCCCACCGCCACCTGCAACCGATCTCGATGAATCTCTTGCACAGATCGGCATGATATACGCCGTTTAACTGCTGATAACTATGATCGAAACAACCCTTCTTTACAGCTTCCGTTCCATCCTTTACTCAATACTTTGTCTGCAGGAGGAGGAGAAGCTGCGGGCTGAATCAGCGGTGACGTGTCCAGTGGATTGCGTGCGGGAGGTGCGGACTATGGCTGATCTGGAAGCGGAGCTGCTTACAGCTGAGCATAATATGCAGCTGGTGAGTTTGTTTCGGTTTGAGGAATGGAGGAGGAAAATTAATCAAGAGTCAGGTTTCTGGAGCCTTGTAGTGGCAGTCTGTTCGTTTCTTGGTTGTAATGGACTGAATGATCACAAATGCGGTTGCCTGATGCAGGTTGTTGTGGATTTTTACAACTCGTCATGTGGCTCGTGTAGATACATTCTTCCCAGATTCATCGACCTCTGCAAATCAGTAAGAGCTCGTCGTGCTCCCATGTCACGAAACATTAAGATCTACTTGGCCAAGCTGTCGTTTTCTTCCCTCATTTGCCTGGTTCCTCCTTGCGACTATGTCTCACATACTTGATCGTTTTCCTCTGTTCAGGGCTGTCAGGGTGACTCTGAGTGTGCAGTGGATGGATTTGCAGTTTCAGACAACTCCATGATTGATAGGGTTACAACGGGTGGAATCGCAAGCAATGTTTCTCCAGCAGCAGCTGAAGAGAGCAAGGATGCAGATGCTGTTGACTCTGAAATAGTGCGGCAGGAGTTTTCAGCCGTTCGGTTTCTCAAGCACAATGTTCGGGATGACTATGATGATTTAACGGTATGTCCGTAGATGGTTACTCGCTGGGTGGTTCGTCATGTTTGTGGTTCTCATGGTTTCACTGTTGGTCATAAATTGGAAGCACTGTTTTGTTCTGTCAAGATCCACCAGCAGTGCTTTTCAGCTGGAGTCTTGACCTGATTTTATTTATTCTGCAACATGATCTTGGCTTATAGCAATTGAGTGGCTTGAACCTGAGAGTCATGTAGGTACAAGCAGTGGCCCTTTCTATGCTTCTCTGACTTCCTTTATCTAAAACATTTTTTCCATTCTCCATTCATGTCTTTTAGGAAATCGCCTTACTGTATCGCATCAAGCTCGTTCCCGCCTTTGCCTTCTTCAAGGTATGTAACCATTTGTTGTGAGCCCTTCTATGGCAGTTCTGGTCTCTGCTGTTTTAGGTGCCATGTGCAATCCGCTCGTGCACCCCTCCCACATTGTCCCCTATTTTTATCTATCAACCAAAATGAAGCTTTGTGCATTCTTTTTCTTGCCTTGCTCTTTTAATATGAATTGGTTTTCAGGACGGTTCATGCATTGGCCAGATCGCAACAAGAGACACTTCCAGGGTGGCAGCTGCGCTGGCAACCCTGCTATCAGGGCAGAAGCTGTGACTCTGGTGTGTGTGGCCGGTAACCAAGCGTATGGATGTGGGAGGCTCCAGGCACAAGATTGCTGGCGACGATGAAAAATGGAAGCATGCAGCTTCCGAAAGAACTATTGAAGTGATCGGTTGCTGTAAATACTAGCCATCGAAAGATCAGCGGGATGGAAATAGTAGAAGATACCAGTATGTATATCCTGTGAGCTGTATATTGTATAATTACTAAGCCGTTCAGAATGAAGTTGAAGATTGTAAGGAATTTTCCATTTCCTTACGCCGCATCCCTGCTTAGCACGTATATCACTGTAGCACCACAGTCAGCACTGTTACCACTCGCAACCCTCGCTTCGACAATCCTCCCACCACCTTCGCACATCGCAACCCGACCTCACGGCTCGGCTGGTAACCCGCGCTCCGGGCCTCCGCCTCGACATTTTGTCAAAATATATGCATATCATTATCTAGGCTATATTGGGGATAGCCTTAGGGGGTACAAAAACTTTCTCGATACCCTAGTCTTGTACCCAAACCTTCACCTAATCTACTCATTCTTGCCTTAGTTCTTCACATGGTAACTAGAGCAGGAGGTCTTTAGGACCTACGAATCGGGCCCACCTAACTGCCTTCCTTGCCTACTGCCCGCGCGCGCCTTGGCTGCAGCGCGCGTCACTTTTTTTTCGTGCGCGCCTCGCCTACTAGCGCGCGCGCCACTGTTTTTAGCGCGCGCCACTGCTGTAGCGCCGCGCGCCGGCCCGCGTCGCCCGCGCAGCCCGCGTAGAGCCCGCGCAGCCCGACGCCGCCCGCAGCCCGCCATCGCGTGCAGCCCGCCGTCGCCCCGCGCGCCGCGTCTGTCGCCAGCACGGCCCGCCAATGCGCCGCGCGTCGCGTCGGCCGCCTGCGCGGCCCGCAGCTGCTTAACGCGTTGCCTTAGGAGCTCGCGTGCGGCCGCTCCTGCTTGCTGCCTGCTGCCTGCTGTCTCCTGCCTGCTGCCTGCTTGTGAAAGTATAGAAGAATGAAGAGGATTGCACTAGCAAGAATGAGGATACAAATAGCAAACCCTAGAAGGGTTGTACTCGCTATAGAGCACCCCACTACAGGCTAGAGCATGAGATAACATTCTGACACACCCCCATAGCCAAAGTGGGGTGTAATCAGCAGAGCAAGCAAAGCAGTACAAGCTTAGGGTGGATCACAATGTCACCACACATTCTGAGCACAAGTTCAAGAAGCAATAGTTCAAGGTTCACAATTATGAGCAAAGCTAGTGGTAGTCACAATGGGCAAGTGAGGAGGAAGAGAGAGTGAGAGGAGAGGAGATAGGAGGCGACGGCTGAAGCTGTAGACACACGGGCAACAGGAGGCACACTGGCATAGCGGCTACCGGAACAACGCTCAAGAATACTGGAGTAACTAACCCCGCGGCTAAAGTAGCGGCAGACGAGCAACGGACCCACGGGCGGCTGGCACAGCTGGCTACGACTGGGCTACCGGAGCAACTCCCCGGACTACGGGTGCTGCTGGCGACACGACGGCAACCTCCATGCAGCTTCCCCAAAATATCCCACTCCCCCTGGCACACACCCGCTGCTACACGGCTAGCTCCACTCCCCCTTCACCCCCCTTTAGTACCACTCCACCGGCTCCAACACGTCCACCCCACCTCAGCGGCAGCTGCAGCACTGGGAGACGGAGGAGGAGGAGGAGGAGCAGGGAACGGCACACAGTGAGGGCACCCCCATACCCCTCACCCCTAAACCCCAATTCAGGAGAATGGGGAGTAGGAGGAGTGGGGCGCCAGTAGAAGCACGGGGGGACAGCGGGGAGTCCAGGGGTATCGAGGAAGGAGCCCACCACGGGCCTGGTGCAGACGGCCGAGCCGCGCGCAGGCGGCCCAAGCCGCGCGCGGGCCTTGCGCCGTCCGTACGGGCCGCGCGCAGGCCTGGCGCCGCCCGTACGGGTCGCGCGCGGGCCTGGCGCAGCCCGTACGGGCCGCGCGCGGGCCTGGCGCAGCCCGTACGGGTGGCGCGCGGGCCTGGCGCAGCCCGTACGGGCCGCGCGCTGCCTGAACGGGCCGCACGTAGGCTACGACGGGCGACAGGGGGCGACGCGCGGGTCCCCGTCGCCCGTCGCGGCGCCTCCAGAGGGCGACCCGGCGAACGACGGGGCAGAAGCCCGCCGCGCGCCTCGGGGCGCACAGCGGGCAGAGAACCGCCGCGCGCCTCGGGGCGCATGGCGGGCCGAAAACCGCCGTGCGCCTCGGGGCGCACGGCGGGAAGAAAAAGTGCCGCACGCCACGGGGCGTGCGGCTCAGAGAGTAGTGGTAGAAGTTGCAGCGGAAGCTAGGAGGTGGTAAGCCCACCCACAGGATCGATCCAAGGGGATCGACCTGCTCTGATGCCATGTGAAAGTTTAGAAGAAAGAAGAGGATTGCACTAGCAAGAATGAGGATACAAATAGCAAACCCTAGAAGGGTTGTACTCGCTATAGAGCACCCCACTACAGGCTAGAGCATGATATAATATTCTGACACTGCTGCCTATGTCTTTGCTTGTGGCCTGGTGCCTGCTGCCTCTTGTCTGCTGCCTGCTGCCTCCTGCCTCTGCCTGCTGCCATTATGACGACGCCTTACGTTCTCGCGTTCGAGCCTGACGGTCGCCCCATAGAGTTCGCTGTGTGGTTAGATGATCTCCAACTGTTCCTTCTGACCGATGCCAAAGAGGGCGTTTCACTGTTCGATTACGTGTCTGGCACTGCCGTTGCTCCTGCTCTCGACCGCTCACAGTGGCAGACTCGCGATGCTACTGCACGCCTAGCTATTAGGAACCATCTGCCGATTACTGAGCGCGCGCATTTCAGCCAGCACAAAACTGCTAAGAAGTTGTACGACGCTGTAGTTGCGCACTACTCCTCCCCAGCCACTGCAGCCATAGGTCGGCTCATGCTACCCTACCTGTTCCCCGACCTTTCCTCGTTCACCACTGCTGAGGACCTCATTTCCCACCTGCGCGCTACTGACACTCGCTTTCGTGCCACCCTTTCAGCTGAGTTCTGCGCCGCTGACCTCCCCCCCCCCCCCCCCCCCCCCCCCCCCCCCCCCCCCCCCCGATGTACTTCACTCGCTATTTCCTCGTCACCCGCCTCCCTGACGCTCTTAGCTCAGTCAGGGACCACTTCCTCGCGCCAGACCCCCCCACTCTCACTGTCGACGACTTCGAGAAGTACCTCCTCGCAGCAGGGAAGAACATCCTCGTTGTAGGTGCTGCTCGTGGCACTCCTCGCTCTCCCCTCTTTGAAGGGTTCTCCCCCTCCCCTCTCACCCCCTCCTACGCCTCTGCAGCTGCTGCTCACGACTACCTTGGTGCTGAGGAGGTCGGAGCTGCTTCCGCTCCTAGTAGGAAGCGTCGCAGCGGCAGGGGCGGCAGGGGTGGCAGGGGCGGTGGGGGTGGCGGTGGAGGTGGCAGTGGGGCAGGCGGCGGGGGAGGTGGAGGTGGTGGGGGTGGTCGTGGGGGTGGAGGCGGTGGAGGTGGTGGTGGGGGCGGCGGAGGCACTGGGAGCGGTGGAGGGGGTAGCAGCGGCGGTGGGGGAGGAGGGAGCGGTGGTGGTAGTGGTGGTCAGGGCTAGCAGCAGCCGCAGCAGCACCAGAAGCAGCGTCAGCGCCAGACCCCCACTTCCTAGCAGCTTCTTGACTGGTATGCCGTGCGTGGGGCTTCTGGGGGTCCTGGTCGCTGCCCCTATATCATTCGCACGGGTCCCTGCACTGGTCGCCAGTGCACAGGTTATCACACTGAGCAGCGCTGTTTCGACGCCTGGCGCGCCAAGTTTCCTGATGCTCCTGAGCTCCCCAACTGGGCAGAGCTACTTAGGCGTGATGTACCTATCTTTAATCTTGACTATGAGGCTATTCTTGATGCTATGTATGCATTGTCTGTTAGTGCTGAGGGTGACTGCTAGTTGTGTGTGCCGTCGGATCCTGGTATAGTCCCTGGTATAGCGCCTGCAACACTAGGTACTTGTGAGTCTGCTCCCCCTGGTACTGCGCCTGCACAAGCCTTGCACACTTTTACACTTGACTCTGGTGCTTCCCGTTGTTTCTTTCGCGATAGTACCAGAGTCACTCCCCTCCCTGCACCTGTTCCTGTCTCACTGGCTGACCCCTCTGGGGGCCCATTGCTTGCACGGTCTTCCACCGTGCTTCCGTGTCCGGCGGTCCCGTCTGGTGAGGTCTCTGGTCTCCACCTCCCCTCGTTCTCTACAAACTTGGTGAGCAACGCTGTCCTCCAGGATGCGGGGGTTGACACCTTCACCCCTGGCCGGCAGCGTGTGGCGATTTGCACGTGCACCGAGACCAGCCGCCACCTGGCCACGTTCACTCGTGTGCCAGGGTCCAGTCTGTACACCCTCACCACTACGTCACGCTCCGCCCGTTTGTCTCCCCAGTTACACGCGTCTGCTCAGGTAGCTACCCAGTGTGAGTGTCGCCGGCTGTCGCACGACACTCTCTTATGGCACCACCGCCCTGGTCACCCCTCCCTACCTCGCCTGCGTAGCATGCACTCTCGCTTCCTGGTCTCTGGTCATCCCAGGTCTCTGCCTGCCCTCCCTCCCTCGCCTGCGCCGCCTTGCATTCCTTGCGTTGAGGGGCGGGAGCGCACCGCTCCTCACTCCTCCTCGTTCCCTCCCACAGAGGCTCCGCTGCAGACTCTCCACCTGGACGTGTGGGGCCCAGCCCACGTCCGTGGACAGGGCCACGAGCGGTACTTCCTGCTGGTTGTCGGCGACTACACGCGTTACACCACGGTCTTCCCCTTGCAGCGCAAGGGGGATGTCCCTGATGTTTTGATCCCCTGGATCCGCGCTGCTCGTCTCCAGCTCCGCGAGCGGTTCCAGTCGGACTTTCTTGTCCTGCGACTGCACTCTGACAGAGGTGGTGAGTTCTCCTCAGACCTCTTGGCGGCCTTCTGTGCGGAGCACGGCATCTGCCAGACTTTCACGCTTCCGGCCTCTCCGCAG